CACACACACACACACACACACACACACACACACACATATATATATATGTATACATAAAAGCCTAGGTATCAGATTCTCTATACATTTGAAAAAGTGTCAAAAAATGGTGTAGGGTTCCAATTCATACACCAACCAGTATGAGAGGCATTGAGACTAATATATTTATATTACCGTAGTGGTCTGTGAAAAAAATAGGAAAACAAAAAATCTGGTAATCTCCAATAGGTTGATTTAAACATTTTAAATGATGAGACTTTAAAAGAGAATTTTTGGAGCCATGGTCTTAGTGTATATATATTTTTTTCTTTGCAAATAGCAGAGCAACATCTCTGTAATTGGAAAAAGAGGAAGAGGGAAAAACCCATTCCCCAACCAAGTCTTCAAATGGTCCTCAGACCCTGAAACCTATGAAGTCAAAGTCATCCTAGTAGTAATGACCATCTGAACCCGACGCGCTTCAAACAGGAAGCTGCATTTCTCCTTGAGCCGCCCATTCGAAATGTGCTTTGGCGAGGGGAGGACGCCGCGACATAAAACAACTGTCAGTCCCCTGAGTAACTCGTGTGACTGGTTCAAACCAGTCTGCCGATGGAGGATGTTAGATAAGATAATATATTCCTTTATTCTTCCCTCAAAGGGGAAATTTGAGTGTTACAGCAGCAGGGACATAATCCGGCAGTCATTTTTACTCCCGACACGTACAACGCCCGACTGAAAAGAAAACACCTTATAAATCTAATGTACGCTTGCTTTTTTTTAAATAGTTTATATAGTCCATTTACCATTTACTCTGAAGTACTTGTTTCGGTCATGCATGCTTTTTTATTTTGAGAAAGGGACTAAGCGACCCTGTCATTAAGACAACTGGAAGCAAAGTTAAATATACATTTAAAGCTCAAAGCAGTCAGCCCTATGTGGAAGAATGGTGTTCCCGCAGAGCAACCTGAACACCATTATTCTACCTATTCAAGGAGACTAAAAGTACCACTCTGTTCATTCGACCTGCACCTGCCGAGCACTCACGCGATGCAAAGAATGTGCTCACCTTGTTCATCCAGTAGGATGTTGTCTGGCTTGACATCTCTGAAAGACAGGAATGGAAAAAAGATTGAACATGTCAAAGACATAAATATATGCATTTGATATAAGCTGTGCTTTTAAGCAAATTTCAAGAAAATAGGAGCAAATAACCACAGCAGAGGGGGAAAAAACACGAGTGACGAAGACACGATTCTCTAGTCGTGTTTGGTCCAGTTTGTTTTCTCCAGATCAGATGCGTTTGGGCAGCTGAGGCCTTAGTGGACAGACACCTTTTCATACCTGTTGTCCATCTCTCTCAATGTCAAACTTCTGCCAAACTTGAGGGAGCTCATCTTTCCTAAAAACATCACACAGCTACAAATCAAATGCTTTGTGGATAAATTTGATTTAACAGAAGATCCTGAAGAAGATTTATTATAATCTGTTGCTGTACACCGATGGATGGATAGTATCCATTTGTATATCCAAAATTCATATCCAGGAAAGGTTGGTCATATATTTTTTTAAATACTCTTAAAAATATATTTCTATTTTATGTTCATGGTTCCGTACATTGTTTTCTTGTTGATTATCTGTTATTATCTTTCCTTAATTATGTAATACAACTTTGCTGCCAACTGTTTAATACCAAATGCTGATATACAGCTGTAAATGTATTATACTTGCACATAAGTATCAATAAACACATTGTTCTAATAAATAAAAACAACAACAAAAAGAAACATCACAGAGCTCTTCATTTCCTGTTAGTAGCATTTTATTTGATATTTTTTAACTAGATCAATTGACTCGCAACAGCGTTTGGAATTGGATGTAATTTTTTGGTCAAGCGGGAAAGACCGGGATTAAAAAGCTCCCGGCATGTGTAGATACGAAAAGCTTGTAGGAGGTGTCTGGAAGGTGATCCATGTGCGAACTGAATGTTGATGCAACATGTAGTGTGTGTGTGTGTGTGTGTGTGTTGTTAAGAGCGCAGGATTCTCTTGGTCTCCGCGTTTCTAAGACGTCGACGGTGGGAACGACAACACACACACACAGCCCGCCGACTGTCCCCTTTGGGCTCCTGTAGGTCTGCCTGCACACGCTCATTACGCCGGGGGCCAAAGCAGTGGACACATCCCGACGCACATCTCCACTTTTCACAGCCCCGCAGCGCTCCACGGGGGCAATTAGCAGAGCACACACCAGGCTTATTTAATTATGCCGCACATCACGCTGGAGTAGAGAACACATGCGGCCTGCAGAGAGCCTCCGCGGGCCCCGGGGCCCACGTGCGCGCCCTGTCGATTGAACTCCATCTTTAAGCTAACGTCCTCTGCCAAAACTCCTGTGGACGAGAGGAGGTAGCATACTTTTGTGTGTCTGTGTGTGTGTGTGTGAGAGAGAGGGACGGGGCTTTATGAGGTGCTTTATCAAGCTGGGATGAGTATTTTACACATTCACGGGGTGAGGGGGGCGGGGTTGTGGCCTGAACTTTGTCGGTTACGTCAACACTTTGTCTGTATTTACGTGTTTTTTTTCGTTACATTTTTGCGGCGGGCTCAGACACATCGCTCAAACACGAGACGGAGCAGAAGCTGAATAGTTTTCTTCTTTTTTTTTTCTGTACGGGAGCACGGCAGAAGCGCGCGCTCATCTAACAGGCAAGTTCATCACGCGGAGCGCACGAAGCAACCTGCGGAGAAGACAAGTGAGGAGAGAGAGGGACTCTCAGATTCTCCTTCTCCTCTCACAGGACTAATTTGCCTCTTTGGGGCCTGGTGACGGCTAACTGTTGCTAGGAGACTGGGGACCTTTCTTCCTTCCGTTGGTGCAACAAAATAATTGTATAGTATTCCACTGTCAAAAAACTTACAGGGTGGTGGTGGTGGTGGTGGGGGGGGGATGCCTCTGGTGAAACATTTACTCACTAACAGACTGAAGCCACTATCAAGGATCTCATCCCCTGGCTCCCAGACTCAGGCTGCTGGCAGATGCAGGGGCTGGTATATTGCATACAGCCTGCTATATCCCTGCCCGAGTGCCTAAAAATAGCCACAGATGTGCATCAGTCAGGCTGCATTCAATCACGTGTTTGGAGCCAGTTCCTGAGCCACAACACGAAGTGGAGACCCATCCCAGCGTTCGCAAAAAAAACACGAGCAGTTCCATATTTGTATCTCGTGGGGGGTAAAATGTTAATAAAAGCCACATCTTTTCCATCTGTGATTTTTAATGCCTTGAAATCAGGTATTGTCAATATATCAAGAAATCATCAAGCAGTCGATTGAGTTTTGTTTTTGTTTTTCACCCCCACAGTTTCAGAAATATGTCAGCATACGGTGGGATTTCAAATACGTAATGTCGTCACCCTACTGAGTTGAAGGATTTGTTTGGCATCTGATATATTGCATGGGAAATCGTTCATTCCAATGAGCACAACGGGAGGCAAGCAGTTAGCAATCAGCACCATGGGTGGGACCAATACCATTACCATGGTGATTTGTGAGTGGGGATATGATATGGCCCCTTATATCTTTATAGAGATTTATAGAAAGATAAAAACTATAAGCGCTGTTTTCTTTGTTATCTCGACTAATCTTTAAAGTTAGACCGTCTTCTTAACACCACAATAACATATTTTTTTCATGAGGATAACATACTGAATTGGCACGTGCTCTAATACGGTTGTCAGATTTGATTTTCTTCTGTTTAAAAAGGGAGAAAATCTAACCAGTCAGACATGAAACGCTTGTGAAAACTGCACGAAAATTGCGTATTTCTTTTTGCGGTGCAGAGTTTTTGAAAAGGTAAGTATGCCAACTTCGTCTGAAACTTTAAAGAAAGACGCTCTCGAAGAACTGAAAGGATCAGAAAAATGAAGAAAAATGAAGATCTGCGGCCCATTACGACCCAAGGGACATTTTTGTTGTGTTCTGTTCCCAGAAAGCTAAAACTGACGTGTTAACGAGTCAACAAACTGACCTGCACCTCCACGCACATCATTACCGATCCACATATCTAAATTCACAATTCAGATTTATTCATTATGTCTTAGTTTCAAGAAACCATTCAAATTAGTGGGGTTCATGCTAACTATGGCTGAGAATCTACACCATCTTAAGCCACCCGTCAGACATTCCTGCTGTCTTTAGAGTGGTCTATGAATCATTCAAGCATAAGATACCAATTTAAAGGAATCTACAGTATTGGAACCACACATGAAAACGTAACAACTCAGAGAGCCTATCTTCAGTTGTGTCTTTAGGCGCTTTGCAACCAGCAGCACATCACAACAACACAAAAATTGGTCCCATTTCGTCAGGTGCATCCAGAAAAGGAAAAAAAAAAAAACAGAAAAAGGTCAACGTTAATGCAGCTTGATGGACATGAAATGGTATTTTTGCACCAACATGTGGGATTCCCACAGAGCTTTCAGCTGAAAACGTAGCATGGGAGCTTGTCCTTCGTTATAAGAATCACCCACAAGTAGAATACTTAACATGTAGATTATTAAAGAAAAATTGGAAGGCCTTAAACACACACACAAAAAACAAATGCATAAAAAAATGTATTATATCAGTACAAAAAAGAGCAAGGTTGTGTCATTGGCAAAGAAAAGGAACAAAATGCAGAATACATCCAAAGAACGGATTTGGGTTGTCCTTTAGGAAGAGATCTACTCCTGAAGACTAATTATAGAAAAGATAGGAGGCTTATCTATTGGGGCTTTTCCATTAGTACCATCTGAGCCCTGCTCGCCTCACCACAGCTTGGTTTTTGGTGGTTTTCCATTACAGGTGACGTCCAATAGAAGGACAGCCCGATTGCCTGGTGGAATAATTTCAGTGTGACGCAGGCGCGAGACATTGTGGCGAAGGCCTACCACACAAACCCTCAGCAGCCCGCTGTCGGCCAGACTCAGCCCGCCTGGAACCCCCCCCCCCGCTGAGCCAGCGCTAAAGTTGTAATTGAGTGGAAAAATCTAAACACCAAAGGAGAGTGGAGCTGTGCCGGATGGAAGCCCCAATTAAGGGGTTTTTCCAAGCCGATGGGAAAAAAGCCCCTTAAGTGGGTGCGGATTCAGAATTGAGGTGGTTGGACTAAATATTGATCTTTACCGTTTTAACCGTACTCACTTCATGCCAGTTGATGCATGCCGATGCCGTTAAAACACATCTTTATACGGCATCTATTCCCAGTTTTTCTTTGGATTATTTAAAGCAACGAAGGCTGGCTGTTCTGTTACTAACCTTTTAGAGGAAGCAAATCACATTCGTGTTGACGCAATATTTCCGTACACGCTCTCACACACTTGTTTAAAGGTGGAGGGAAAAAAAAACTCAGATAAGGTTTTGAACACTGCTCAAACATTTATTTATTTTTTTAGCCATCTGTGGCAGTAAATCCTCAATCTGCTGGGATCTGGCTTTTTTTATTTAGTGGACTGCACACACACACACACAACTGTGCTGTGTTTCTGTGCTCAGCATATGTGAGCAGATACCTGCGGCTACACCACAGTTAATGTGCGGCACCATTTAGAAACAGACTTGTGTTTCATGTGGAGATGTGTAACGCAAATCCAAAAGTGTTCCGATTATAGAAGCCAAAGCTAGATAAAAATTTATTTTTTTTAAATCCTGATTTCGGATGTGGATAAAAGTGGAATAAAACATGAATTACTTTTTAGTTTTGGTCAAGATCCTCCTCAGATAAAGTCTAACTGGAAAAGAAGATATAAGAAATTATCCTCTAAAGCCAATTGTACCTTAAATGCACATATATTCTATTTAGATCACTACATATGTGTGGAATGAGAGGATAATATTCACTAGTCACTGTAACGGCAAAGACTTTGTTATCAGTCCTGTAAATGTTGCCCAAGTTGTGGACATGCAGATGGTTAGATCATAAAAAGTGCACAACTTCTTGTGGGGGAAACTCACCTGTTCAATTCTGGGTCTGCTCCCAGGTGCACGGCCAAAAGATTCCCCAGGAAACAAGCATGGGTTCTGGGAGGGACTAAGAAATAAGTTTGGAGAGGGCTTTTTTTTTTTTTTATTATCGGGGGTAGAATGTAATAGTGTATTGTTTTTAACAGTTCTGTGAGGTAACCTGTATTGTGATGAGCATACAGCTATTTAATAGGAATATGTTTCTTTAAAAAAAACTGTGTCAGTAGCATTAATTAAGTTTCTGTTGTGCAATAGCAGAAACGACAAACAACTGTTAAGCTGCTAGGTGATCATTAGTGACTACCTTTCAAATTTTGTGAGGGTTGCAGCTGCTGATTGTGTGTCTTGGTGTCTGTGTGCGTCTTCATTGTGGTCCATTCTAACCACAAAACCCACAATGAACCACGTCACGTCTGCCAGGGGACAGGTTCCATGTTTTTATCTTTGTTTACTGCATTTCAAAACTTCAGTCCTACTCACGTCATCAAACTTGGGGGGACAAGTACATAAATGCATTTTAACTGCTTTGCAAACCAAGCAGTCAAAATAAAACATGAGTAAGCCTCTCTGTGGAGCTGTAGGGCATTGTGTAAGTCATCTGACAGATTCGTGCAGACTCTGCTGACATGTTGTTATACTGAACTGTGAGGTCAAAGTGGGTTCGGGTTAGATAAGCCAAAAAAAATCAACATAAACAGAGGTGAGGGTGAAATGTATCTACACCAACACAAAGGAGCCATGTTTGACGATTTAAGAGCTGCATGTAAAGCTGCATTTGAAAAAACAAAACAACAACAACTTTGTGGTTCTGACTGACGAGCTGTGCCATCCGTCCATTCTTCTATTCCCTTTGGGAGTAAAAAAGAGATCATTCAAATGTAGAAAGAAAAGCCGAAATGCAACTCCTCCTGTCAGGATAAAAAAAAATCAATCAAACAAAACTTTGGAAATCCTTAAAGTTCAAAATCCCACCTTGATCTTCTGTGATTTGTTTTCCCTCTCCTACACAGATGAAATTCTAAGCCTTGGCCAGAGGCTTTTTTTTTTTTGTAGTTCTTACACAAAATGATGTAATGGGTGGGCAACAGTGCAGCTGGCAGATTTTCACATTGCTGTCAGTAAAAAAAATGAAGATACAAACACATGAATTGGCGTGCTTGGGGAGAACGTGCTATATATTCATCATTTATCTTTCTCATCTAAACACTGACAGATTCCGCCATCCGTCGTGTTTTCATTTGAACAGAAACATCTCAATATGTCGATGGAATGTATGGCTTTACGCGTATCGTCCGTGAAGACCGCATTGGGCGTAGAGCTAAATCTGCTGAACCTGGGTAGCCACAGAAAACCAAAGATGGGGGTATGTACCTGTGGATGATGTGCTGGCTCTGCAGGTAGTCCAGCGCCAGCGTCATCTCGCAGAGGTAGAGTTTGATGGCGTCCTCGCCGAACTGGACGTTCTGCTGCAGGTGGTAGCGCAGATCCCCCCCCAGGAGGAGGTCCACCACCATGAACATGTCCTCCTCGTCCTGGAACGAGTACCTGGGAGCAGCGGCGGCACGCGGCGCTCAGTTATGCAGTCACGTTGAGGTGAGAAAACAAATAAAGAGAGAAAAACTTGCCGCACAGGAAAGCACGCGCTGAGCTTGCTAAAGCAAACGTACATGGGAGCTGCTCCTGTAGGCGTTTGCATGCATTGCACACAGCACATTAACATATGCAAAGCTTAGGACATGCATGTTTAAGGGAACCCACAGGCAGACAGAAAAATTGCACCCTTTGCATGCTAATATCCTTCGTTTTCCCTTTTTGGAATACTAAGGAAATGATGCCAGGTCTAAAAGGGAAAAAGTCCATACAAATGGAAAAACTAACAATGAGCACAATTTGACAAAAGCCAGTGCAACCGTCGATGCTGACATTTAATTCCTCTACCTGTAAGCTGGGTTTTGATCAATAACTCAGTCATTCTCAGCCAAGACGGAAGAGATCTTTAGAGAGATCATTAATATGTCAGTCTCTGTTTACTAGACTGTGCTGCTCGGTTTCTCTACACTCTTATTAAAGTAGAAATGCAAATCATTTCGCTGTGCCACAGAAATGGTACGCCAAAACTCTCAGAAACTAAAGGGCCTCTCTTGTAACTCTCACAAGCAGGTAAACTGGCTTCTTACAGAAAATTAATGTTTTTCAAGAGTTTTGCCGAATTTGATATGCTTTCTGTGCCAGATTTAGAACAGAAAAGGCAACCTCTGTTGAACATGAAAGCATGACCAACATGCTTTCATGACCAACATGAAAAAAAAAGTATTTAAATTCAAATAACCTATAATTTCTAATAGTAGCCATGCGGTTTAATTTTCCAAAACCATCCAGAAAACATGTGTTTTCCTGCAATCAGGGAAACCATGGGGATCAGCTCCATTAAAGTAATTCGTACCTTGTATAAAATAATGTACTTTAACTAAGATAATTTGATTGTAACCCCTAAAAAGTAAGCCATGTCTTACATCACATACACGCTTGTGTTTGAGCTGTATGGAAGAGCTGAAGGAATAATGCAGTTAATAAATTCAGCCAATGGGATTTGCTGGTTACGGGGTAAGTTGTCTCAACAACCTGGGCAAGTTCAACCAATAAGACTTTGCCCGAAGCAGGGATCAGTGCTAGCTGCCCGGGGTAAAGCTGTGGACGAAGGAAAATGTAGTACCAGATAATCAAACCGCTTGGTCAGATTTTTCTCAGGAGTTTATGGGAGGCTTTGGGAGACTGTTTTCCTGTGTTTGCTAATGTTAGCTCCGGGGCTTCTGACTGAATGATCCCTGGTATGGTCAGATATGTGGTGAAAAAAATACCTGAGAGGCAGACCAGACAGAAGAGAGAAATGGAATGAATCACCCGAACACTCCGGCCAAATCACTGTTTTCACGTTATTCTATATTTAGATGCTCTTTGGGGAATAATGTGGCTGTAGTAATGGGCCATATCCGACTCTCTGGGGATGTATTATCACCTTGTCAGAGAGTATTTGGGTTATATTTGTAGGCCTTACATATTGGTGCAATCTATAAAGGCAATCTCTTCAGCTCCATCAGCCGTCAGCACGCTTCACCCTCTGTGGGCTGTCAGAATATGCCTCCACTTCAGTGGTCTGGGCCACGCTCCCTCTCTGGTGCTATTTAAACAAAGCTAATTCATGCTAGTTTTATCTTTTCCAAGAATAAGATCACTGCGTACACCTGGGATGGGCTCAAGCCACATCCGTTATCCTATTTAGAATAAGAAGGTATAGGAAATGGATAGATGATTTCAAAGAGGAGGCAAAAAAAAGGCAGTCAACCTTCCCATTTCGTTTTTTTTAGTCTCCATCTTTTGGGATAAGTCATAATCTGATCCTAAATCCAGCTTCTTTTTCATGCAGAACCACGGGGTGGACGTCCCTCCTCTCTATGCACAAAATGAACTTTCCAGCTGTGTTCATTCATAGAGGGTGTTCTCCGGTTTGTTTCAACAGCTTTCCAACCTGTGCACCGGTGCTCACAGATGTATTCAAGATTGTTCGCCATAACTTCACTCTATAGGCGTATAGTTTAGACGCATACTCCAGATTATTCACGTTTTTAGTGTGATACTGCATGGGGTTGGACTTGTGTGTTTGGGTTGGAGCGTGTGAAACAGACTTGTTAATGATGAGCACATAATAATGAGCACATCATTATCAAAGTAACATGCCGGCCACTGGAGGAAGCGCATAAAGACGTGCGAATATGTCAAATCTAAGCTTCAAACAAAGCTCATGGTAGCTTGAGCATCCTCCTTTGAGAGATGTCTGGGGTCCACCAAAGGCTTAAGTCAATAAGTCTCTCTAATCAGGAACAGCAAATTAAAACACTAACTCAGACAGTTTGGGGATTTATAAAGCCAAACAATCTCTCTCCCACCACAAAACAACAAAAAAAGAGTGCGTAAATTCCTTCAGTACAACAGATTCTAATTAGTCATCGAAGAAATATAAAGACAGACAAATAACTTAAAACCTCAACCCCCCAAAGGAGGGAGAAGGATCTGAGCCTTGGCGATTTCGCTTATCAACGTTGGCTTCATCATTGCTACTGAGCCAGTTATTTATTTTCCCATTAGATCTCTTATACTGCTTGCGTCTATTTATAGCCACAGGTTTTCCGCTGGATCTGGGAGTTGGGCTCTGGATCCCCATGGGGACCGTCCTTCTCTTATTTATTGGAAAATAATTTCCTGCGTCTCAGAGTGAAAGGGGTTTAGACAAAAAGAGGCACGCTTCATATTCAGCAGACTGGAAAAAAAACAACCTAAAAGCTTCCTTCTTTTCTGAATCCCTGGAGCTGTCACAGGCACTCAATAGGAAATGACTGTAAAACCACCTGCGCTGGCCACCGTAAACCAACCCCGGCCTGACCCTCTAGAGATCAGATCCGCTAATAAAGCCGAGAGGCCCCAGCAGATGGCCGTCCACAGGATGTTGTTTGCCTTTGGCTGGGTTTCCTCGCCGCCACCTTTTTATCACCTCGTTGTCGCAGCCTGACTCCCGGACGGACACCGGTTGACGGATGAGCTTCCTCTGAGGCGGAAGCTATCTCTCAGCCCGTGCCGCCATCTTCAGGGCCCAATGCTGACATCCCCGGGGCTCCTGAGAGAGGCCCTCCGCGGACGCCGCCTCTTTCCTCGCCATCGCCGGGGCGATGAGGAGATGTCAGATAAAGGACCAACCAACGACCAATGACGAGCTTCCACGCCTTCGTGGCTCTCACAGCGAAAAAGGCTCTGCTTTCACAGTTTTAGGGGACACTATTTGATAGCCCTAATAATTTGAATAATAATTTAAAAAACACTCTCTCCCTCTGTCTGTCAGAGATGAAAGGGACGTGGCAAAAAAAATAAAAAAATCACGTTAGTTAAAGGGCACTTGTTTGAGAGGAGAGTTTAAAGAGATTTTCTGACATGCTCTCTGCTCCTGTGTATGCAGCTAAGTAGCAGCATGTGTGAAGAATTGAGGGTTTAAGCATCACTTGAAACTCGTCAACTTCCCTCTCTATGTAATTGGCTCTGTCACATCGGTGAGTAAAGCCAACGCCGCAATGAAGGGAACGTCGAGAAGTCTCATGAGCGATCACAAAGCTGATAAAAGCAACAATTGTGACAGTCAGGTACAGAGAGCACGGGTTCTAAAAGGGACCTTTAAGAATAAAAAAGGGAAGATGTTACTGTTTAATGGGCATGTCTCCAGCTACATTAGTGCAAAATAACTGACGTGTCGATTCATAAATGTTCATGGTCTAATTCAGTTCGCAACTTTTCAAAGAATTTCAAATCATTTTAACAGTAAATGTGAAGGGGGCCATTATCATCAGAATGATACCAGCTGGCACCATGCATTCAGCTGATCTTAACCTCTTAAAACGTGACCACAGAAAAAATTGATTGAAAAGAAACCCAACTTTTTTTTATCTGAAGTTTGTGTCTCTAACAAATGTAGGAGAAATCCTATTTTCTGCACATATTCACTATAAACTAAAATGCAAACAGTTTGACTGTATAAGGTCTCAGAAATCTGTGCATTAAATATGTCCCGTTCGGTGTTAACTTAAAAGAGTTTGCTAAAAAAAAAAGGTTTCCAATGGGGAAACGTTTGGTGCCCTGAATCTGTTCCGTCATTGCTCCCTTTTATCCGTATCACTTTTAACCGACATGCCAATTCGCAAGTCATCTACAAATCAAACCACCATTTCATGCCTTTTACCACAGCTGTTCATCTAAACCTCACTCTTAAGTTCATAACCCTTTAGCAATAAACCCCTCAGTAGATAGCTGTGATAACATTTAATGTCGGCAAATTGTGCCTATCAGTAGCGGCTGGGAAAAAGACTTCAATATTAGCAGCTTTAATTCTTATAGTGGTGACTTCCCACAAGGTGAGCTGTTAGCTACCACTGTACTTTCATGAGATCCGAAAGAGGAATTTGGGAATTGAGTCGTCTGAAACCCTCAAATCACAAGATTTTATAAGCATCAGATCAATTTAGGGGAGATATGGACGTCAGATGTGAAGAAACAAGAAGAATGGCTTTGAAATTGGGCTAGATATTTGCCAAAGATATGTAGTGCTTAACACCTATATTTGACCACCACCAAATGTGAGGTGAGGTCCCTAAATTAACAGCTCTGGTTGTGACCAAAATCATTATCTTGTATCGCCGACTTCTCAGAGAAACACAGTGAGTTGGCAGAAACCTGGGTATAAAAGGTGAAATTCGGTTTGAAATCCAATTTAGCACAAAATGGTACAACACAGAGTTAACTGCAAATGGGAGAGTCTGAGTGAAACATCTTTACGGTACAATAAGTTCTCAGAGAAAGTAAAATACATAAGTGTTCTCAATGTGGTCAGTGTTCCCAAAAATGAGCCAGAAAAGAGGCAGGAGAGGCATTTAACTGGAGCAGGTGTCACACACCTCAAGATCTGAAAGAGCAGAGATATATATAAGATCTTCGCTCAGAGATCAATGCTTCCAAATCAGAGCCAGATCAAATCTCCAGAATGGCCGTAAGAGACTGGCTGATGGGGAGAGATTAAGGGGAATTGTTTAAAGGGAACAATGGCTGCAAAGAAGCCATTACTGATCACAAAGTTTCACCAAAAGTCTGTGGTAACGGCTCGGACCTCTGGGGAAATGAAAAAGAATGAAAACTACCAAAAAGTTGATATAAAAAATCTGTAAGAACATAAGCTGTTATTAAGACCAAAGGAGGGCACAAAAAATGATACATTTTCATTTTTTTGAGAGAAAAAATAGTAGTACCTTTTAAATAACAAAAAAGTCATTTTAAGTCAAATTTTACTGAAAAGAGATAACATACAAAAACAGAATTTACTTGTTGATTGAGTTTAGTTACGTAAATTGCAGTTGCCAAACCAATTTTTTTTTTTTAAAC